ATCCCTAACGATAGGAGTGTTCCGACATTACTTCTACTGTCAATACTTAAGTACATGATGTAAGTGCTACGTAGCAAATTGATGCCGCAAAAAATATACCTGACGATCCTTTATTGCAAATATTATACAACCATCGCTTATACGCGACATTATTTCTTCCGTAAAGCCTTATACGCAACATTAATGCTAAAGGACAAAATAAGTACTTCAGGCAATTATACCCGGCATTGCTTCTACTCCACAAACGTATGCAATCATTGATTGTACACGTCATTACTTCTATCACAAAAACTTGAACGCGACATAGTGGTACACCAGAAAACTTATACTTCAAAAGCTTATTCCCGCCATAATCTCTACTGGGAAAAATGTTTGCAACCATAGCTTATACACGGCATTGCTTTCACTAAAAAGACTTCTTTGCGACACTAGTGCTGCACGACAAAACTTAAACTCAACAAATGTAGAGCTTCCATTATTTCTACTGCAAAAGTTATAACCGTCTTCACATATACGCAGGTTTACTTCTACTGTTGATGCTTGCCGTGGAGGGTGACATGCGTGTGAAAACCTGTCAAGGGTGTAGGAACAATATGCAGGTTATGAAGGAATCCCACCACGGCAATACGGAAAAAGTTTTTTGTTCAGTATGCTGCGCGATTTTGTCGATTTGTAGCGCTTGGTGTATGAGCAAAAGTAAAAGCAAAAGCTAGCAAAAGCTCGATGACAGACGAAGCCATTTGAAGTATTGGTTTTGTGGTGTAGCGCTAGTGCCTTAAATAGGTAATTGCAATATAAGAAATATCCGTATAATTAAAGACTTCCTATTTATCCCAGAACATAATATGACGCGTATGAGTTTCTAAAGCGCCCATTCTATCGTATAGTATTTATCTCGTGTATAAGTTTTTACAGAATAAGTGAAGCTACGTATACGTAAAGTCTGCGCAAAGATCAAGTTACCAGAAATTTATACCTGGTCTGTGTAAGTTTTTGCAGAAAAAGTAACGTCGCGTATAGCTGTTCCCGTAGCATTCCTATCAGTGGGGGCTTACGCTCTTATGCCGTAACGCATATGTGAGTGCATCAAACCTCGCAATGCTAATATAAAGAGTCAATTTTATATTAATTTGTAACACCGAATCGCCCTTTGCTGATGTTAGTCCATTGCACGGCATACCACAATCAAATGATTCAATGCCTCAGTCTTTCTCGGCTCAGGCCACGCTGTCCTGCGCTAGAAAGGCTAAAACAAATAAATCATTCTTTTTTAACACGAACGCTGTTCATAATATTGATATGAAACCAAGATAAAGCCACACCTCAGGCCTTTTGCTATTACCCCGTACGTATTTACTTCATTAATTATCGTACCCATGACGGTCTAGGTATTTTTGCACTGCCGAGGTTGTTTGGCGAGGTCAAAAACAACCGACCGACAGAGACTGAGGTAAACTTTCACAGATGTCTAAAGTTTTCTGCAGCATTCAGGCGTTATAGATCCTACAAACTCCCTGTTTTTTCATGTTTAACTGCCCATGCGAAGGCGGCACAGTTGCGGGATAGGAGCCAAAACTGCCACATTGTTTAGATCCCTTTATAATGCCTCACCTCAAACGGTAAATCTGAACGGTCGCACCCGACCCGAAGGCAAACTTCAAATCAAAAGCTTTCCTAATTTGAGATATGTGGTTTACGGTAAAGCCAAAGTCATAGTTTCAGACAGGTGTGAGCTAAGGTTTTATGGTTGGGGGTGATGATGTGCTTACATCACAATCTAGAGTTCAAAAAGCCCACATGAGGGTTCCGAATAAGGGGAGGGTAGGATTGAGACCCTGTGATCCCCTTGGTTTCCACCATCCTATTCCAGATAATGCTACTTCATGGGTTTATGCGGCTGGGTTCATGAATTGCTGCCGAGACCACCAGCGAAAGTCAATCCGCTCACTCTTACGAGGCCCACGACATCATGGTGCAGGAGTGTCTTAGAATGGCCGACTTTGGGTGGAAAGCAACATCCTATGAGGAGGAATTTTTCACTCCTTTTTCCCATATTTTATGTGAATTTTTCACTCCCGCATGACATTGTCTAATCGCACATGCCAAACCCTTATTTCCCTTTCTTAGGTTTTCAGATGTCATCTAAAACCAAGCTCACTTGAAACCACCAAGCATAAACAAGGCTTCACAGAACCTGGACACCTGTGGCTATGTCCTGCCTCACCTAGATCTGAATCATGTCTATGTATGCACAGAACAATGGCGCCACACCTCCAAGCCCAAGAACCCCAGCGACTCCAGCCGCTTGCACGGATGCAGTTTGGTTTGCTTACAAAATGCATTACAATCGGCAGCTGTGTGCCAAATGCAAAGTTTTCATGCATCTCCTATTTTTTCGTCTCACCACCACACGACGAAAGCAGAGCTTGGTGCAAATGTATTTGGTGTACCGTGTGCATTTCTAGTTTGATTTAGTGCTCGCTTCCCGTTTGTTGAGTCACCCAGTTTGCTATTATCTTGAGGTCTAATTTAGTGTTGGTCAATCCATGCTATTTTCATATTCATTTTGTATAGCAAATTTTTGTCTCTGTTCTGTCTGTTTCCGCTCCGTTTAGTTCTAGGTCCAGTCTGTTCATTTCCGAGGTTTCGTTGTTTCTCTGTCAGCGTCCACGAGGAGTTGAGGCGCGGTGTTGGCGATGGGCGGTCATGAAATATAGTGCACCTGAACCCTCGGTGTCTTCGATGTGGCGGCCGTCTACAGCTGATGGCAGCGGTGGGATGGGGGGCCCACGCCGCGACTACTGCCGCGTCGACGAGGTTTTCGCGCTCATTCGCCTGCCCGGTGACGCCTGCCTTATTTGGGGTCGCTGAGCTCGCCTCTGTGACCGCCCGCCGCCACCCGCCCGCCGGCCGGTCGAGTGACCTCCGGTCGGGTCGGTCTGGTGCGTGCCTCCTGCGCGAGACGCCGCGCTGCGTCTGAGCGGACGGCCGGTCCGGCTCTGCCGTGCGCAGCAGCGGGAGTAGGTGTGGCTGATGGCTGCCGGGTGATACCGGGCTGCTGGCGACACTGTCTGGCTGCCGGCTGTGTCTGGGTGCCTGCGCTGCTGCAATGGTCGGTTAAGTACCTAGTCTTGCTTCATCAATTTTTTTTGGACTGAATTGCTTTCCTGACAGCATGAACTCTAAGCCTCCCGTTTCGGCTGATGTGGCTCCTGCTGCGCATTTGAGATCCGAGATGGCTGGTGTGAGGATGTCGAGTTTTGATGGACGTGGTTCGCTGAGACGTTTTCTTGATGATTTTCAGCGGTATGCCATGCTCCGGGAATGGACCGGGGAGTAAATGTCAAATGTCTTCCCGCTGTCACTCACTGGCATTGCTCGTGACGCATTCGATAGCTCGCCCACTCAACAGGCTGCCACCTTCGAGACGGCTGCTGCAGGGTTGAGAGGTGCTCTCGGTGCTAAGACCGTGACAGAGCATCACCTCGCCTTGCGTGAGTTGGCGTTTAGTGTGGGCGAGAGTCTCGATGCGTTTGTCATCAGATTTAAAAAGCTGATGGCCATGGCTTTTCCCACCCTCACCGATACGGGTTCACTGATGTTCAGCCATTTCCTGGCCACCTTACCCGCTGACTTACATGCCGCTGTTATTGCGGACGGTATTTCGTCCTTTGACGGCGCCATCACTTAAGTGCGTAACCTGACTGCTCCACAGGCATATCTGAAGCAGTATCAGCCCAGTGCCCGCCGTCTCGACTGTGACGGTGAACTGGCTGTGTTAACGAAGAGAGTGATGGGCTTAGAGGCCGCAGTTCAGGCAGCCTCTCGTCCCGGTGGCACCTCTGCTGGTCAGAGAGACCGCGGCTCGCGGTTCTGTCTGTGCTGCGGTGGGCAGAATAATGTCCGCGAGCGCTGCAGAATGCAGAACTGGGAGTGCCTCAAATGTCACCCAGTCGGCTACATGGCCGTGATGTACCCCAGACATGTCCTGAGCAGTCTTTTCCGCAGGGAAACGAGTTGGGGTCCGGCCGCCGAGAGAGCAGTCTCCAGCGAAGCGTTCCACCACCGAGCGACCGGACCGCTCAAACTCCGATGGTGTTCAGTCTGAGTCACCATCGAATGTGATATCACTGACCGATGACATGCGTCTGACTGCGCGCCTCGCTGGTGTGGATTGTCAGTGCCTTCTTGACACAGGTAGTTCGATGAGCGTGTTGCATAAGTCCGTGTTTGATGCAATGCCGAACATGACACTGAGGGAGACATCTGTACAGGCCCGTACTGCGTCACATTCTGAGCTCCCACTTCTTGGTCGAACTGTGGCGTCTTTCGACATCGCTGGCGTTAAGTGCACCGTACCATTTTTCGCTTCTGATGTTACTGACGTGCCTTGTTTGCTCGGTGTTGATTTTTTTGCAGCATTGCCCCTGTGTTATTGATTTGCGTGCCAAACAACTATTTGTTACCCCCGCCGAGGCCGTTCGTTCAGTGTCCGCTCACGCTGTGACGGTCGGCGATGTTTCTTTGAGTGCTGACCGAGTCGTCTTTCCTGGCACCGAGGTTATTTTAAAAGGTTTTGTGCGGAATAGTTTCATAATGGCCCTGCTCTCGTCGAACCCGTTGATGAACTGAATGGTTTGCTGGTCATCAGTGTACTCGTGACTGTCGCTGGCTCCAGAGTGCCATTTGTTGTGCGGAATGTGATGACTGAGCCCATTACTATTCCCAAAAAGCGTGCCCTGGCCAGGTTGGAGGTTGGTTTTTCCGAGCAGCCACACGGTTCGAAGGATGAGCTGAAGACTAAGCAAGCTGTCAAACTGCGGTCTGACCAGTGTGGTTCCGACCTGTCGCCTGAGCAGAGAAATAAGTTAGAGTCGCCACTCGAATGACACGCTGACATGTTTGACGGAGAGATCGGGTTTACGGTTCTGTTCACCCATGAGATTGATACCGGTGACCATCCTCCTATTCGTCAGCCCCCCAGGCGTGTTCTACCTCACCTGGCGGACGAACTGCATTCTCAGCTCCGTGGACTAGTCAGTCAAGGTATTTTGGAGGGGTCTGATGGTGCATGGTCGTCCCCCACCTGTCTGGTGAAGAAGAAATCTGGTGCATACAGACTGGTCGCTGATTTGCGCCGCCTGAACGCAGTGTCAAAGGTGCCAGTATATCACATACCGAGAGTTGATGATTCGCTTGAGGCATTGGCTGACTCTGGCACATTTTGCCAGTTGGATATGAACAGCCCATATTTTCAGGTTGCCGTGGATCCTAAAGACGCGGACAAAACTACCACTACCACGCCATTCGGCACGTATCGTTATACTCGCATGGTTTTTGGTTTGGCTGGGGCACCTGCAGTCTGTGCCCGTCTTCCTGACGTTGTTTTGGAAGATGTGACCCCCGCGAGACTGCGTTAATTATTTTGACGATATCATTGTACATGGCTGTGGATTTGATGACGTTATTACCAAACTCGACACGGTTCTGCAACGTTTTGAGAGTGCTGGCCTGACCCTGAACCTACAGAAATGCTCATTTTTCACCAAAAATGTTAATTACTTGGGACATGTAGTGTCCGTTAATGGTGTGTCCACCTACCAGGAGAAGGTCCAAAAGGTACTGGACTGGCACTGCCCGAAGACACAGAAGGAACTAAGCAGTTTCCTGGGGCTGGTTTCCTATTTTCGCAAGTGTGTACGAAACTTCGCTGAGATCGCTGCCCCCCTGTTCCGCTTGACCCAAAAAGACACAAAGTTCGTGTAGACTGAGGAAACGCAAAGCGCGTTTGACATGCTGAAGCGAGCGCTGTCGTGTGCGCCTGTTGTGTCATTTCCGCGTTTTTCGGCTGGTGCCGGAAGGTTCCGTCTCGATACTGACGCACCTGACCTGGGAATCGGGCGACCCTTTTTCAGGAGCTGGACGGTGAGGACCGTGTGATTGCCTATGCCTCCCAGAAACTGAGCAAATCACAGCGTAATTACACCACAGCCCGCAAAAAGCTTTTGGCGTGTGTCGTGTTTGCCGAACATTTCATGCATTATTTGATTGGAAAAGTTTCGAGCTGCTCACAGACCATGCCAGCTTGCGTTGGCTCCCGACATTTAAAAACCCTACTGGAATTTTGGCGAGATGTTTTGAAATTCTTTCTGCATTTGATTTTGAGGTAGTGTTCAGACCTGGTGTTGAGAATGTCCCTGCCGATGTGATGGGTCGATGTCCCCAAATGACGTGTGACGCCGAAACCGAGACTGATGAACATGTGTGTACAGTGTCTGCGAATTCCTGGTCTAACAGTTTCCTGCGACACGAGCAGGATCATGATTCTGCGATTTCTGAGATTGCAAAACATTTATCTCTGGGCAAGAGACCAAGATCCTCTTCTATAGACACTGAGTCGATTCCACTTTTGCTCCAATGGCACCGTCTGAGACTTATCGATGGTGATGTCTTCCGCTGCTATCGGATTTGCGCTGGTGGTGAAGACCAGCTACAGCTGGTTGTCTCAAAACAGTTGATACCCGGTATGCTGACGTCCCTACATGCCGGCCCTGCTGGTGGCCATTTTGGCTCAGGGTCGCTGACGTCAACGGCGAGACGCAAGTTTTGGTGGTGCGGGATGGAGGTTGCCATCAAGGATTTTTGCAGCCGGTGTGAGAAGCGCAACACACGAGCTACCCCTATTCCGCGCTCAAGGGCTTTAATAGGTGAATTGCTTGCCGACGAACCTTTTGCGACTGTGTCTATCGATTTTCTATGTGGCCTGACCACGACGGTCCGTGGGAACAAGCATCTTCAGGTGATCTGTGATCATTTTACTCGCTGGTGTGAAGTGTTTCCGGTCCCCGACATGACTGCCACCACTGTTGCTGATGTGATTGTCAACAAATTTATCGCGCGTTTCGGATGCCCCCGCCGCATTCATTCAGACAATGCTGCGAATTTCTCTGGCACTCTTCTTGCTGAGGTTTGTCGATTGCTGGGCGTTGAGAAAACGCATTGCTCTGCTTTCCATCCTGAGGGGAATTCAAAGTGGGAGAGAATGATGCGAACGATACTGGACATGCTGGCAAAGTACTTGGACGAGAACCATGGCGACTGGGACGCTCACTTGCCTCTGCTCATGCTCGGATACAGAGCCAAGGTACATTCTTCACTGGGAAACTCTCCATATTACCTGATGTTTGGCAGAAATCATAGGTTACCAGCTGCGGTGCAAATCCAGGCACCATCTGCTGTCCCCAAATGTGCCACGATTTCTGAGTATCTGTCCAAACTCACACAGCAGATCAAACTGTCTCACAAGTTTGCGCTGCAGGCCTCAAACAAGCGTCATGCGCGCAACAAGAGATTGTTCGACGAGAAGCTGACCATGTACCACTTTCAGGCTAGTGACGCGGTGTATCTTTTCAAGAGTGTAGCTCAGCGAGGCCAGTACTACAAGTTTATCAGGCCATGGAGGCCTGCGGTGGTTTTGGCTAAGCTGTCTGACCTCAATTACAGGGTGGGGTGTTGGGAGGGAAAAAGTCTGTCGTCCACCACAATAGACTGAAACCTCGTTCCGATGACCCCTCAGTGCCTGTCGCAAGCCCAGACATGACGATTCCTGGCTCGGCGTTATCCGCGGACCCCGAGGTTGGAGATCAGCCTTCACCCCGATCACCTCAGCCACCAGATGGCGCGTCACCGGAGGGCGACTCGTACTTGTCGCCACTTGCTCGTGGCACATTTCCAGCCGGCGAGAATTCAGTGACCGCGGCTGTTGCTGTGGGAGGCCCGGCGCCTCTCTCCACAGGGATGCCTGTTCCGTCAGAGGTACAGGATTTGTCCGCTGGGGTTCCGGAGGGACATATGTGCGAGAACATCCCTGATGTGCTTGATGTTCCCGTTTCTGCTCTGGATGGTGGAGATGAACCACTGACCGCACCTGTGTTGATGCCGGATGGTCCCGTGACCGCCCCTGTGTTCGTCCCTGATGTGTCTCCGATGGCCCCTGCTCCTGTGCCAGCCCCCCGGCGCTCTGACAGAGCTTCTAGGCCACCGGATCGCTACTGTCCGAGTTAAGTCGTTAGTTAAGATTTGCTTAAGTTTGGCGAAATGTGGCTGAAATGCAATGGAAATAGATGAAATGCAATGGGATTATGTCAGGACAAAATGTACTGTCTGGGTGCCATTCTGGTGTCGTGTTTGGCAATGTATTCGCAGGCATAACGGTGGAGCGCTACCGGTTGGTGTGTCCTGTTAACGGGACAGTGCACATGGGCATGACATGTCATTGGAGTGTTCCTCACTGACCTCACGAGCCCTGTTTCCCAGTCCCCAGTCATGCTTCAAACCGAAGCTGTCCTTTATTATTCCAGTTAGTGAAGCTGAAAGCCACATCGCACGCGGCCCGAGGATTGTGTGCGATGTGGGTTAACTTACACCGAACTGTGGGCTGCGTGTGCTCTGCATGTCGTGTGTTTTGCCTAGCGTTCGCAGATGGGTTGTCGCTGCGGCCGTGCTGCCCGCGGTTGTGCTGTCCGCGGCCGAGCTCCGCGGCCGAACTCCGTGGCCGTGATGTCCGCGGCCGTGCTCCGTGGCCGAGCTCCGTGGCTGTGCTCCGCAGCCGAGCTCTTCGGCCGAGTTGTATGCGGATGAGCTCTCCGGGCGAGCTCTGCGTCGGTGTTCTGCGGCCGAGCTCCGCGTCGGTGTTCTGCGGCCGTGCTCTGTGATCGTGCGTTGCGACGGAAGATTGCAAAGTGATGTTTTCTCTTTTGTTGACGGGGTCGGGTGTAGCCGGTGCACCGTTTGCATTTCTAGTTTGATTAAGTGCTCGCATCTCGTTTGTTGAGTCACTTAGTTTGCTATTATCTTGAGGTCTAATTTAGTGTTAGTCAATCCATGCTATTTTCGTATGCATTTTGTATTGCTAATTTTAGTCTCTGTTCTGTCTGTTTCCGCTCTGTTTAGTTGTAGGTCTAGTCTGTTCATTTACGAGGTTTCGTTGTTTCCCTGTCAGCGTCCACGAGGAGTTGAGGCGCGGTGTTGGCGATGGGCGGTCATGAAATATAGCGCACCTGAAACCTCGGTGTCTTCGACGTGGCCGCCGTCTACACACTGCACCAGCAAGGCCTAGCAGATAATTTTACTCCTTGTATTTCTTTTTCCCCGAGGAGACTTGACCACCAACTTACATCACTCCCGAAATGCAGGAGTGAAGGATTCAAGAAATGTCTTCCAAATTAAATTTACAAGACGTATATCACCGTTTGAGCACTTATTTTGACAGCTTGTAAGTCAAATTAGCTGATTACAAAATTTTGCCAGAAAAGTAACGGTCTTTATATCTATTTAACTACTTTTACTTTTCTTGGTATCATATGAGTGTGACTTTATTCTTCCTTTATTTTGGATTGCATTTAGAGGTACCATCTGTTGCCTAAAATGTTGACCAATTTGTCTGCAAGATTCTCCAACTGCAAACTTGTACGCATTTCATACATAGATTGGATTAATTCGCCAGCCGCCCAAACATGTTTGATATGCACCCAAGAGTAAACAATTCACATGGAACGAAGGAGGCAATTTGAAGCACGGAGCTTATTTCTACCGCCATTTTTGCCCTGTTAAACCCTGGTTTAACCTTTTTCTTGGTTCATGGCGGTACTCAATAATGATAAATCTACGGCTTTCGGGTGTCTAACTCACCAGGCTACTTGACAAGGCCATCGTAATGTTGCCATACAGAGCTTTGGGACAGACCTGAAACAGCTAATGCAGAAGTGTTTGATGGCAAAATTCTGCCCCCCGGAGATGTTTATTATGCACACCTCTTATTTGCTTCACATTTTAATCTCGAAGTTGGTGGGCATGATTGGTATTTATATTTGGGGGGGGGGGGAGGGGGAGTGGGATGACTCTGTCTGCCAGCATACCATGCAGAAGGTACTGACTTTCTGTCTTGGGGAGCAGGAGGAAGCCAGCAAGCCTCCTGTGAACCGAGTAATTGCTTACCTTACCTGCTTTCAACACACGAGTGGTAACCAGAGTTAGCCATTTTCTGTTTCAATCAATCGAGTTTTGTCAGAAGACAAATTATGATGCCACAAGGCATGCAATGGGCTTACTTTGTTCCATATTCTTGGTTATTTGCCCCAAATTTCTTGCAGTGGTCCCTCATGGTTACTTTAACCAGATAATTTTTATAGTTGTCATGGTTTGCTGACTGGCAAATGACTGTACTCTACATATGCACTCTATTTTTAACACAGGGATACTCTAAGCTGCATAGCAATTATTATATGACTTAAGTATTAGTATGGAACAAATAGCCAGACCAGACCATTTAAAATGTGAAGCCAACATGTCAAACTTTGTCATTAAATATGAATAAACAAGCCCAAATAGGTGCATTTACAACAACTGAAAAGGCAAGCAGCAATACTGGCATGGCCATCTAAAGGTTATGTTACTTTTGGAGAAGAGATTGTTTTGTGGAGCATGCCCATCATTGCCCTTGACATAGGTCAACCATGGCAATCACAATAAGTTGTTCGAAGTGATTTCAAGTATTTGGATTTGTGTGTTGTCAACTTTGTCTGATGTCAACAGGCATGCACAAATAAACTGAATGAATAAACAAATCATGTTTTTATCACAAGTACTGCTGTCAACAGATAGGTAAGTTGGGATGGTGTTCAACATATGGCCTACTCTAAGTTAGGTTAAGTTGGTTAGGTGCATGGCAAGTGGCAATAGGGATTGTGCAAGAATCAGATACAACTTCTGCTGTGATACAAACAGGTTAGACAGGATGGGAGGAAGTAAGGCCTCTTTAGGTTAGGCATAGTTACGCTACTTGCATGGGAATAAACATTGGTATTTTGTAAGAAACAGTGACAGAACGTTTGTTTGCCCTGACCCCATCTTAACAAAAGCCAAAGGTATGTCTATTGTGTTTGACTTGGTGATGGGCTGATGCGTAAGAGTCCGAGGTTTTTTGTTTGAATGTTTTGTGCTTGTTGAATTTTCTGTTATTTTGTCATTGAATTTGTTTTGCTTTGTTTTGTGGTCAAGTGCTGTGGAAGGGAAGTGCAGAGTACGCCATCAAATTATTGGTGTTAACAATTGTTCATGCTCATTACACTGTTATGAAATTACTATGATTTAATGTATTCTGTTCCACTTTAATGGCTTAACATGTTAAAAACAAAAAAGCTTTGTCAGGTTTAGGATATCACGTCCAAGCCAACTTGAAACAGATGTCTCTGTTTGCTGATGCATCAGTCACGAGCTCATAAGCTCCATCTTTTGTTAACTGATTTTTTCACTTGCACGGTCTTTTTGCGATGGAATTTTTCACTCCCACGCTAGTTGAAAAGCAATTCTAGCTTCCTGTGGTGCAGTTACAGTGTACAGCATCTAGCATTACGGTCCTCGTCCCTATATAGAGGCCTATGCTTACGTAAACTTCATGGAAGTGGTCGACAGCTTTGTACCGGAGATCATAGTAGACTTCTGCATCACAAGCACGGAGGGACACAAGCTTGGGACGAGGGATGCTGATAAGAGCCAAGTTACCACCACTGCATAGCAAACGTGCAAACATGCACCGGCTGGCCGTGGCCACATGCAGGCCTGGGCGGAATAGTCTTCAACCTTCTGGTCTGAGTTGTTAACATCTTGGTGCCTGCTCACGTCGCGCTGGGAGCCGGAAAGACCGGCACGGAAGGCGGCCTGCGGCAATCGGAAAAACCGGCACCGGAGGCGGCCGGCGACAGCATTCGCCGCCACCTCCAGCCGAGTCGGAGAGCCTGGGCCAGGGTGGCCCGTAAAACGACGCGCGGCCGCCGCGGCCCGCAGACGACGCGAGATGGCCGTGCTGAGTGCGTGCCTGCTGCTGACGGTGGCCGCGCTGGCGGCGCCGGGCGTCGCCCGGCCGCTGAAGTCGGCAGCCCTCTGCCCCGGAGCCGACGGCTGCTTGGAGCGACGGCGGCGCTTCCTGCCCGACCTCAGCCTCCGCCTGGAGGACGCAGGCGCCCTGCAGGTCGACAGTGTGGAGGACGAAGACGAAGACGAAGACGAAGACGAGGGGGTGGAGCTGCGGCGGCGACGATCGCCGAAGCGCCGGCACGGCAGGAAGGGAAGGCGCAAAAAGCATTCGCGCGAGCGAGGACGAGGAAGCTGCGAAGACGAAGAGGACGGAGACGCGCCGTTGGACCCTGATGAGGACTCCCCGGGCTCTCGGGGGGCCCGGGAGTCTCGGGAGTCCCGAGAGTCCCGAGAATCCCGGCAGTCCCGGGGGTCCCGGTCCCGGAACTCCCGGTCCCGGGAGTCACGGCCCCGGAAGTCACGACCCCGGAAGCCCCAGTCCCGGGAGTCCCGGTCCCGGAAGTCCCGGGAGCGGAAGCGCGGAGGACGCTCGAAGCGGCGAAGATGTCGCCCGAAGAAAAACAGCAGAGAGAGGGAGTCTTCTTCTACGAGCACAACTACCCCAACCACGACCACCACGCCAAGCTCAACTACTGATCCAACCACGACCACCACGCCAAGCACAACTACTACTCCATTCACGATCACCACGCCAAGCACAACTACTACCCCAACCACGACCACCACGCCAAGCACAACTACTGCTCCAACCACGGCCACCACGCCAAGCACAACTACTACTCCCGCCACGACCACCACACCAACCTCAACTACTAATCCAACCACGACCACCACGCCAAGCTCAACTACTGATCCAACCACGGCCTCTACGCCAAGCTCAAATGCTGATCCAACCACGACCACCACGCCAAGTACAACTACTGCTCCATCCATGACCACCACGCCAAGCCCAACTACTGATCCAACCACGACCACCACGCCAAGCTCAACTACTGATCCAACCACGACCACCACGCCAAGCTCAACTACTGATCCAACCACGACCACCACGCCAGGCTCAACTACTGATCCAACCACGACCACCACGCTAAGCTCAACTACTGATCCAACCACGACCACCACGCCAAGCTCAACTACGGATCCAACCACGACCACCACGCCAAGCTCAACTACGGATCCAACCACGACCACCACGCCAAGCTCAACTACTGATCCAACCACGACCACCACGCCAAGCTCAACTACTGATCCAACCACGACCACCACGCCAAGCTCAACTACTGATCCAACCACGGCAAGCTCTACAACAGCACCGACTGCTTCCGCCACGACAGCATCGACTGTTTCAAGTACAACGACGCCGTCATCTACGACAGCGTCTTCCTCGGCACCTACATCTCCAACGACACCGAGCACAACATCTACTACCCCTGCCGAGCCCTAAACGCAGGCTGGTCATTACGACCCAGCCAGGAAGAACGACAATACGCGTTTGGTATGCTACGTAAGTTTCTGTTTTGATACCGTGTTTTGATCTGTATAGCTCGCGACTTAAGTTTTTGATCCACCATTACATCGTCATTAGGCAAGCCGAGGAACACTACCGACTCATGAAAACGACAGTCTTAGGTCTATTGTTGCGCAAAGTTTATTTGACCTGCTTGTTATCCAAACATCGCACACTGAATACATAAACGGTCTCGATTACGTTTTCCGTTGTTGTGTCTTTTTGTCTGCTATTATATTTACATTGCGTGTGCGGCTAACGAAATAAATTATCTTCTGTAGGTCATATACCCGCACAGGTTACAGCTGTGAAATGTGACTAATTTTATACGGCGGTTTGTTTCATACGGCACCGCACGCAATATGAAGCCACCGCATTGGTACTATCTGTAGAAGGTGTAGGTGGTCATCACACCGAGATCAAAGCTTCAGACCAAGCAAGAGGTGGCTAATGTTTTCTAAACGCTTAAAATCCAGCGAGGGAACACTTTTGCAACGAGACATAGAACTTAAGGAATGAACACACTAAATCGCAGCATGGAACCTTTTCAGACAGATCCATGGAGGTCGGCCGGCAAATAAAGGCAAGTCCATCGTGATGTGCGTTGACAACCCACCGATGACAGATGCAACGCATCTATACTTGCGCCACCTCGCAGTCCACGAATCTCCGCTAATATCGCGAAAAATCGAGGTTTATTTTGGCGTTGTCTTGGAGCGCTTAGGAAGCAGTTTTTTCGTGCCAAATGCCGCCCTTTTTGTTGTACCTTTGTTAGCAGCTCAAGAATGGCCTTCCATATGCAACAGTCAAATTATGAATATCCCCTGAGAAATAACTTGTCAATGGCTGTACATGGTTTGCTTGGTTATCTTGGGTTATTCACGTGTTATAATCTGGCGGACGCAATGCATGAGGTTGTTACATTTGCCTGGTTTCCGTTCGTCAATACTGTTATAACAGCGCAGCACGAGACTGTTGGGAGCTGTAAATCCGAAATGTTTGAAGTGAGGTACCTGATCAAGTGTCACTGGCGTGTTCAACCCTATTGACTTCTTGCGTAACCAAGCTAGTCAAAATCCGAGAGACGAGAGTGGAAGACCCAAGACCCGGCCGACCTGTCCTGAAACGCATGATAACGCCCATTCCGTCCTTGAATTTGGTTCGTACTCGTAGTTCCGCGCCGTGATACCATGGCCACACTGAGCAACTAAATCAGTTCTTAACGGCTCTCGGTCTGCAGCGTAGTTATGCGCACCAAGGAAATTAAATGTGAAGTTAAGCCGTCGGTGTTAGCATCCTTAGTGTCTGCCTTGATCAGTGACGTTTTGCGTTTGCTTTGTCTGAAAGCTCAAAAAGAACGATGAACCCTCGCCTGGTTCAGTGAATGTTCGGAGGAACAACGGTTGAGCCTTATGTTTTTGAAAAAGGTACTATGATTTAATTTCGGTCAGTACAGCTTCCAGAGCCTATTGTGATGTTTCGCGCATTGCAAAATGCTATTTCCAACGTCATGTGAAGTCACAAAATTAACAATGTAGGTGAAGGCCTCCGCGGGGATTTTGGTATGCAAAAATTCTCAGTTTTTATTCCTGATTAAGCTTAGTTTTGACACTGATTTAAGCCACAGACCGTTTCAGCCATATTTCGGCGGGGTCATACGACGTCATGAAGAAGCCACGCCATTTCCACATAGAAGTGGCACACTGCAATGATAAGTAACGCCAATTTGTCATAGAAGTCGCCCCAATGGCTACGTTTCCAAACCAGGCGTCTCTAAAGCCCAAACGTTTCTGGACAGAATGTAAATGCAAATATCTAAGGCAAGCTGAGCTAACTTGCAGCAAAGGTACCCGATAGAGCCAAGAGGCCTCAGGTGGGGCGAAAGTGGCCCAGGTAGTCAAAATATGGCACCGAAACCAGGCAGCTGTGTGGCTGACCCGTAACGTCATCTGATCGAGATCGATAAGCGATACCCACCTTAGATCTATTTGAGTCACTTTCAGAGAGTTTAAGTCAGTGCAGAGGTTTTAAGCGATTATCTGCGCCTGCCAGGAAAGGCAATTTAACTCGTCTCGGTGCGAAAGTTTCAATCGCTTCTTGCGCGGTGCCGGGGTAGTAAAAGTGTACTTTTTTTCGCCGACCGAATTTCTGGAGGCAAAATTGTCGTCAGCAGCTTAAGGCAAATCACATGACATCAAATGGTAACGAAGTCCGTGCCCAGTACGTCATCAGGAATCATCCTATCACCGAAAACATTTTTCATAACCGCAATTTTAACATGATGCACAGAATCAAAACGCTCAATTATACGATGTCCTTCAGCTAATGTCACGATAAGTGCTGCTACTAGCAAAACAGGCGCACCTGCCCTAGATTATAGAATAGCTCAATCACCACAGCAGATTCCTTCTACTCTCGGGCTTGCCGGGTCCTCACATTTAAATTCGATCTACGGCTGAATCTGCTTTCCTCGCCCGCGAAGAAGCAGCGAAACACCTCAAAGCCAGGACGCCAGAATACATTGCGGCATTCGAGCCAGTGGCAGGCGGCACTGGAGATACGTCCAATATCCGGGACTCATCGAGACCATGTCCCTTATGAAAATTGTGCGTACGCTTCGAACCTCATCTCAACCGCCATCAAACTGTCCATCATACCTTAGGCATGCTCCAGGCCTGGCGTGACATGTGTTGCCTGGTGGGAGCCTTTCGCAGTGCCCCAACAAGTAAATTGCATTGCGATTTGCTAATAGCTTCACATCACGCTGATAGTTTTTTTTCTAAACAACATACTCGCCCTAATCGGAGGGAAGGTGGGGCCATGCAAAGCCCCCCCCCCCCCCACCCCTCCCTTAAGGTTTTCTGAGGATGCCAATCCGGCATATTGTGCAGTCGCGCTCAAATCCTTGGCAGACCCTGGGCCATCTATCGCGCGTATGTTCATGCGAAAAACAAGTCCGTAGTAATTCTGGTCTCGGAGGAACCGTGTATTTTACGACTACTGCAAGACAATCCAAGGGCGACGGGGGCGGCGGGCGGCAAACGACGATTCTGCGGACTGCGCGCTGAAGGCTCACTGCTACATTCACAAAGCCCTACATTATAAAAGGGCTCGAAAAAGATAAAATTGAATACCATTGTGCTCTTCATTAAACAAGGAACACGTCATTTTCTGTTTCGTGTCTCTACGCTGCATGGTTTCATGCATATCAACGTACAAAGCTGGAATAGCTTGATTTTCAAAAAATTTGACCTTAGAGTTGGTCTAGTGGGGTCAGTTAGCCACACAACCCTTTTTGCCAATCGCGAGACCTCATCAAAGACAGTTTGCTGTTGTATTTTGCGGGTTTGCGAAAAATAACAGCAAACCTCCTTTAGCTTGCAGTCAGCAGGGTATCGCCCCCCCCCCCCCCTCTCAGACCGCGTTAAGATAGCCAGCGAATCAGTTTGCGGGTTAAACTTGTTGGCTACCATCATTTAAAAATTATTTTATCTACACTGGTGTAAACATGTGCATTCTAGATCACAAAAAAACATCAGCTAGTACAACAGAATAGCACATTTCGTTACCAACATCCAGACAATGGAAGAAATTCACTAAGCAAACCAAAATTACTCTTGCATGCAAAGTAGCATCGAATCTTACGATACCGGCGATACTTGCCGTCTGTGATGTAGGAGTGTCAATTTAAGTTAATGTCCGGGGCCCTCCCCAGATCTCATGTTTGGTTGGGCCCCTCAGTGTCGGTTCTTTCCTCCCTCCAGCACTTCTAGCTGGAAGGTTTCAAACATATATGAAAAAAGCAAATCAAAACACAAAACCATCTTCTCAGAACTCAATGTACTGATCTTGACCCATAAATTGCTACCTTCCCCTACACATGCATGGAAATTAGCACTTCTGTCATCATGCCATCATCACAAAAAAAACTATGTTGATTTATACTATCAATGTGAGCTGCATAGTAGGCTGTCTGGCTTCACAATCTGTTCTTGATGTACAGTGCGATTATGCCAGGGTTTCCTCTGGACAATTTGCAATGCAATGTTTGCAAAAACAGCAATATTTGCATCCATTCAAGTGTCATGCTCACAAGTACAAAAAAAAACTGGATAGTATGAATGAGCAAGAGTCCCTTTCAGAAGACGCTATCATCAGCAAACGGCCAACATTGTCTTCAGAGACAACCAAATGCTAATATTTCACTAAACTCATAATACAGTTGGACCACAATACCACAAAACATCCTGCTATTTGAAGCTGCACTCATCAGCACTCTGTCATCAATCCACCATCACAAAAAACTATGCTGATTTATATTACCAATGTGAGCTGCATATAAGGTAGGCTGTCTGGCTTCACAAGACGAATACGCTATCATCAGCGAACAGCCAACATTGTCTTCAGAGACAACCAAATGCCAATCTTTCACTAAACTCATAATACAGTTGGACCACAATACCACAAAACATCGTGCTATTTGAAGTAAAACTCTTGGTAAAGTAAGATGACAATGAGACCTGTATGCCCGTACCTCCCCCTAATTGCCTGCACTTCCTGCACGACCTCACTCCTCACTTTGCATTGCCTTCTCATATATCACTGTTTATCATCGTTGGCTATCATATCCATTTCCAGCAACCAAGATTTATAGAATAAAAAGTATAAACTGTGAATAACTGTAAAAATCCTAACAAAACATTGATGGGATAATTGCATTTCAAGCAGGGCCATAGTTTATGTGGGTAGACCTGTGCAGCAGTGAAACATCATGCAAACTACCTCCAAAATATGGATGTCTCCCAGATTGGCACAACTCTTCACAAACTTTGGGAGAGAGTTGGGGCCCTGAACCGAAAAGCAAACTAGGTACATCCACGATAGTGAAAACAGCGAATTTACCGACCGGTCGCACCATAGGAAATACGCGACTTTGTCGCCGACCTGTCACCAAAGCGAGCGCCCAACTAAAAATCGCAGGATATTTTTGTCACCGAGTTGGGATGAAACTTAAAAATATACCATAGTGCCGTAAGATACGGTAAAGAGTCTACGGGAAGGTTTGCTTGCGTTGTGTGGCGAAATGCATTTCCATGGATGCACGTCTATGTATGGAGACTTTGTGTTGGTTTTACTGTGGGTGCTCCGTTATTTCTTCGCGGCTGTCACCGATATTTTCTGTCAAAAACATTTTTGA